TTTTTTTGAAAACTTATCTTTGCCAAAACATGGCACTTATCTTTTGTCGCCAAAACATGGCACCTATATTCATTGCCAAAACTAGCATGGATTAGACAACTCCATTTGAGTTAGTGATTAAGCGATAGATGGACAGCTATTATCGGTGAACACCATAATTGTAATGTGATAATGCCTTTGTTTGAATTTGAATGCATTAAATTATTGCGGATGGTTGTCAACATGTTCAAATTTAAATTTTGTATATGAAATCATTAGAATTATTTGAGGTCAAATATGGTGCCATGATTTATTTCCCTCTGATCGTTTCCTAGGAAACTTAAGTTCTAGGGACAAACTTTACACGTTGGTTTTGTGTTCTTGTGTCAAGACATGCGCTTGTGAGGGTTCCCTAGGAGCCTTTTTCCTAGGGAAACCAGAATCCCCTACGGTTCCCAGACAAACTGTAGGGCACCTTCCTATTTCCCGTCAATATGTTCCCTAGGACTGTTTCCCTACGAAATACGGTAGGGGATCAGGTTCCCTACGGTTTTAAGGCTTTTCCCTAGGAATTTGAACTCTAGGGAAACTCGTAGTTTCCAGTAGTGTAAGACATCTTGGCTCCGCCACGGGAGTGCTTGGCACTCGTCCTAGAGTGGTCGCCACCACTGCAGAACCTCCCGGCATCACTCCTGGCGTGCTCGGTATCCCTCTAGAAGTGCTCGACACTACTCCTAGAGTGCTCGGCATCCCTCCCGAAGTATTCGGCACTGCCCTAGGAGTGCTCGGCTCTACCGTCGGAGTGCTCGGCACCTCTTCCCCAGTGTCTCTACCATCGTGGATGACCAAGTGCTCGATGATGAAGGTGTTGGTGAAGCTTCCAGCTTCCCCCGTGCTCGGACTGCTCCAGTCCCAAGCCGCCTTCTCGTCGAACACGACGTCGCGCGAGACAAGCACCTTGTCTCCGCGCGGGTCATAGAGTCGGTACGCATTGGTACCCTCCGCGTAGCCCAGGAACACCATGGGTGTGCTCCTGTCCTCCAGCTTGGTGAGGTTCGGCTTCGTCTTCCTAACGTGGCCGATGCAGCCGAATGTTCGGAGGAAGGCCACGCTCAGTTTGCGCCCATACCAAGCTTCGAACGGCGTCTTGCCCGTCAGGGCCTTGGTTGGAGCGCGGTTGAGGATGAACACCGTCGTGGTCATCGCCTCACCCTAGAACGTTGCTGGCATGCCTTTGGCCTTCATCATGGATCGGGCCATGCCGACCACCGTCTGGTTTCGTCGCTCCACCACGCCATTCTGTTGTGGCGAGTACGGCGTGGTGTGGTGTTGCCCCACACCCTGATCTGCACAGTACGCAGCGAACTCCACCGAAGTGAATTCGCCGCCGCGGTCAGTCCTCAGCACACGGAGCTTCTTGCCGCTCTCGGCCTCCGCGCGCGTCTTGAACTTCTTGATCACCGCCGCCGCTTTGTCCTTGCTCGTCAGGAGTTGCAGCCACATGTAGCAACTATAATCATCTACGAGCAGGAGGAAGTACCGCCGACCACCATTTGTAGCAGGCGTGATCGGCCCGCAAAGGTCGCCATGGACAAGCTCAAGAGCGTCCTTCACGCGATACTTGGCCGCCTTTGGGAAAGGTAGCCTCCTCTGCTTCCCGGCCAGGCAGCTGTCACACAGCTCACCTCCATGCTTGATGTGGGGTATCCCTCGAACCATCTTCTCTAGCCGACCAAGCGCGTCGAAGCTGAGATGTCCGAACCGGGCATGCCACATCCACGGTTTCTCGGAGTGCCTTGCCGCCAGGCACACCAGCTGCTCTACCTTCAGGTCGAGCAGGTACAACCGGTTCAGGGACCTCTTCACCTTGACAAGAAGTCGTTGCTCCTAGTCCCTGATTCTAAAGACTCCGTCCTTGATCAGTACCTCGCTACCGCGCTTATCTAGCTGACCAATACTGATGATGCTGGAACGCAGCTACGGGATGTAGTATACATCCATTAGCACGCGGTGCTCCTCGTTCTAGCACCTGAAGATGATGGTGCCGCGCCCTTGATAGCCACCCTTGAGCCGTCACCAAACTTCACCGTACCGGTAACATCGTCGTCGAGCTCGGAGAAGGATTCCTTGGAGCCCGTCATGTGGTTACAGGCACCAGAGTCCAGATACCACCGCTGCTCCTGGTCAGCGCCCACACGTCTGAGGTAGACTTGGGCGCGTGGTTCGTCAAGGTTGATAGTCTTCAGGGCCTTCCTAGGTCCTTCCACCGTCGTCGCCTCTTTCCTCTCCTCGGCCTCGACGTCGTGCAGTGCACAGAACGTCGCCATGAGGATAGTGGCCTCATCCTCATCATCGGCTTGCGCCAGGTGAGCCTGAGTCTTCTTTTCCTGCTTGCGGTTTGGGCACTCCCGTGCCTAATGGCCCATTTTCCCGCAGCACCGATAGGCGTTGGGGTCAACTTGCTTCTTATTTTCCGAAGAAGTCCTGCCGCGGCGGTTGCCATCGCCACCGCGGCTGGAGGAGGCTACCTTCCCAGAGTTCCTCCGAGCAGCCCACTTCTCTTCCGTCAGCAGGAGTTTCCCGCTGTCCTTCGTTGCTGTCGCTCGCTCCAGGCGCTCGTCCACCGCCCGCAGACGGCCTGTCACATCCTCAAGGGTGAGGGTGGACAAGTCCAGCATCGTCTCTATGGAGAGAGCGATCTGGATGTACTTTGCTGGCACGGAGTGGAGGTACTTGGAGACCGCCTCCTCTTCGTTGATGGTGACGCCATAGCTCTTCAGCTTGTTGATGAGCGTCTGCAGGCGGAGGGAGAAGTCCTCCACCGTTTCACCATCCTTGAACTTGAGGTTGGCGTACTCCTGCTTCAGAAGCTGGGTCGTCGCCTTCTTTGCGCGGTCGGAATCGACGCGCATCGCCGCAATAGCCTCCCATGCCTCCTTAGCCGAGCTCTTCGCCCCCAACGGCTCCCTGTACTCCGCCGGTACAACAGCGATGATAGCCTCCAGCGCTGACATGTCATCTTCTTTATTGTCGGTGCCCTTGTCAACAACATTCCAAAGCCGTCGGGCTCTGAGCTTGACCTTCATGGTCACCGACCACTCTCCATAGTTGGTGCGAGTCAGCGTCGGCCAACTGGTGCCGCTGACCTCCCGCACCGTGCGAACAACTACCTCTGGCCGTGGCTGGGCAGCCACAGCAGTGCCACTGCTGTCGCCCATCTCCAAACCGCCCATCATTTTCAGCGGTTAGTCTGGCGACGGCGCTTGTACGGCTCTGATACCACTTGTTGGCCCACATGATCACCGGCTCAGGTAAGTAAACCACTCACCGGTCTTGCCGAGCACCCGCTAGTGTTGTCGAACACCCACTAGCTATACCGACCACGAACAAGCGTTGTCCGTCCCCACACACTATGGCTAAAGCTTGAAGAAGAAAGGAGAACAGAGCATACACACACAGTACAAGACACCAGTGTTGGCCGAAGCCTTGTATGGGAGATGGTAAATCTGAACTCTTTTTACTGAGTTGTCGTGGTAGTCTATTTATACAACTCTATCCATCTAGTCCCAGTACAGCTGCCCTGCTGCAACAGTGACTAGATAACATACAGGGCTGACTCTACGCCGGCCACTGCATGTGCCTACAGTGCTGCAGGTGAGCAGTTTGGCGCCTGCACCTGCAGCGACTACTATATCATAGCAGGAGGTTTTTTCGACACCGCCTTCCCCTTGTTATGTTTACATAATGTATCAGTGAATTATCTTAACATGGTGGCTATTGGCATTGGCCATTGTACTCGGTCAGTCTCCTCTCCGGTCATGCCACAACTGAGAGCCTGAGACTGAGACTAGATAGATGGTGATCTTTGTTCTTCGAACCATTGAGAAAGTGACGCTCCACTCCACAGTTAGTTGCATATTCTATTCTACAGTAGTGGTGGTATTGTGGTATATACCAACTGCAATTTGCCTCAATTCGCATGTAGTACATCAGTACTAGTACTGCCATGCATATGCCGTGTATATTCAGGTGTCTATTAAATGCAGAATCCTGTGCTCTTTGTGGTGAATGAATCTAATCTAATCTAGGGAGCAGGTAAGCAGTCTGTGTATGTACTGAAAGCGATGGTCGCCTTCTCAATTCCTGCTGCTGGTGGGCTGATGAGGCAGCTGTGCAACCATTCCCTCTTCTCTTTTACTACGGCTGCCATCATGTCATAACCATTCCCTCTTCTCTTTTACTACGGCTGCTAGTATCCCTAGATATAATTAGGTCAGGCAACCAACACTAGTTAAGTAGTATATTGGAAACCCTATTCACAGAGAAGGAATGAAGGGTGATAGATGCACAGAGCCACTGAGAGACAGAGAAGGCAAGGAAGAGATGAGGTGAGGTCCCTTTCGGTTGGTGTATGCATTGCTCTGCTCTGCATGATGGATGGATGCACCCTCATCGTCATCGTAAATTACGACTAGAATACAAGTCGATCCCATCCGATCCAGCTGCAGCCTGCATAGTTACAGAGAAAAAGAAAGAAAGAAACAAAGCAAATGGGATGGAGAGGGAGAGGGAGAAGGAGACCTAACACAAGAAAAGAAAAGAAAAGAAAAGAAAAGAAAAGCAGCAGCACCTGCTCCGTCGTTCGACTGACTCAGCTCCACAAACAGGCCACAAAGCCACCCCACCACCCACATCCCCCTCCCCTCCCTGTCGTCTCTATGTCTCTGTTTATCTCCGCCCGCCCGGCCTCCTCGTCGTCCTCTTCCTCCCAGCATCCCTCCCTGTTGCTACCTCCAATCCAAAGGAGCTGCAATCTGCAGCACCTGACCTGATAAGGCTGCGGTTGAGGTGCGTTGCTGCACAGGCGAATCCATCGTCGGCAAGAGAGAGAGAGAGAGAGAGAGAGAGAGAGAGGAGAATTATATTGCTTGTCAGATTCAGTAGTGATTATCATATCGCCAAGCCAAAAGCAGGAGGAGGAACAGCAGCAGCAGCTCAAAGCAGGGATCCGATCCAATCCGATGGACAAGTACGAGCCCGTTCGGGAGATCGGGGCAGGCAACTTCGGGGTGGCCAAGCTCATGAGGAACAAGGAAACCAGGGAGCTCGTCGCCATGAAGTTCATAGAGCGAGGCAACAGGGTGAGTCGCCTCTCGCCTGGGTGGTGCTGCTGCTTCTCTTCTCTCTTCTCTCTGCTCTGCTGCTGTCGTCGTCGTTTATGTTCTTCTTCTTCCTTTTCCTATCTATGGATTCTGTGCCTGAAACTGAAACTAGCCAAGCTAAGCAGATCGACGAGAACGTGTTCCGCGAGATCGTGAACCACCGCTCCCTTCGCCACCCCAACATCATCCGGTTCAAGGAGGTGGTTCTCACCCCGACGCACCTGGCGATCGTGATGGAGTACGCGGCGGGCGGGGAGCTGTTCGAGCGCATCTGCGAGGCCGGCCGGTTCCACGAGGACGAGGCCCGGTACTTCTTCCAGCAGCTGGTGTGCGGGGTCAGCTTCTGCCACGCCATGAACATCTGCCACCGGGACCTCAAGCTGGAGAACACGCTGCTGGACGGCAGCCCGGCGCCGCGCCTCAAGATCTGCGACTTCGGATACTCCAAGTCCTCGGTGCTGCACTCGAGGCCAAAGTCAACGGTGGGCACGCCGGCATACATCGCGCCCGAGGTGCTGTCGCGGCACGAGTACGACGGCAAGCACGCCGATGTGTGGTCCTGCGGCGTCACGCTCTACGTCATGCTCGTCGGAGCCTACCCGTTCGAGGATCCCAAGGATCCCAAGAACTTCAGAAAGACGATCTCGGTCGGTAATCTGCTTACTCTTTTGTTTTTGGTCTCTTGGTTATTACTCTGTGGTCTGTGCTGTGCAAATGGAAACTGACATCTGCTCCTGCATCGCATGCAATTCGCAGCGGATCATGTCTGTGCAGTACAAGATCCCCGAGTACGTGCACGTCTCCCAGAACTGCCGCCACCTCCTCTCCCGCATCTTCGTCCAGAACCCGTACAAGAGGATCACCATGAGCGAGATCAAGACCCACCCATGGTACCTCAAGAACCTGCCGAGGGAGCTCAAGGAGGAGGCCCAGGCAGCCTACTACAACCGACGGGGAGTGGGAGACGCCGGCGCCGGCGCCGGCGGCAGCAGCAGCAGCAATGGTAATGCCAATGCCGTGGCAGCCGCAGCAGCCTACTCGTCGCAGAGCGTGGAGGAGATCATGAGGATCGTGCAGGAGGCACAGGCGGTGCCCAAGCCGGCGAGGCCCGTCTCCGGCTACGGCTGGGACGCCGCCTCGGACGACGACGACAACGACCAGTACGAGGAGGAAGCAGAGGCAGAGCAAGAGGAGCAGGAGGAAGAAGACGACTACGACAGGACGGTGCGGCAGGTGCACGCCAGCGGGGAGTTCGACATGAGCAGGCTCCAAATCTGACATGACACATCTCTCTCTTATGTCTCTCCCTCTTGGCAATTGCCAACAAGCCAGCACAGCTTAAAGTTAGCAGTCAGTTTTGTGTTGTGCATGCTGTTAAATGCGCGCCTGTAACCCCGCAACGCTCCCCCTGTTTTCAGTTCAGATGCATTTTTCGGGCCTGTTCGCTCGTGGGTGCTGGTTTGGGCTGGTGCTGGTTTTTTTTTCTGAGAGTAAAACACTGTTAGCTGGCTGGTTTGAACTGGCTGAAACCAACAAGCGAACAGGTTGTTCATCTATATATATATACCAACATGCCAGTCAACGACACAATAATGCACATGGTATGCATGAAAGGCACATTCAGTGATAGGACTATTTGATTCGATTCTTTCTCATCATAAGAAAACACAAGAAACTGGCACTTTGAATCTTCAGAAAACAGGTATCAACATTTAGCCTCGACCGTGCGTAAGCAAAGGTCGATACTTGCACAAATAATATAGTCGGTCCTGTTGCTTTGCAACTTCATCAGTGACAGTCAAAACTGAGCACCAGAACCAAAGTCAGCAGAGCAAAGCAAGCCCACACCATAAATAAATAAATAAATTTTAATCGATCGATCGATAAGCAGAACTCAAAGCTTTCCCATCTTTACTTACATCATCTGACACCTCAACACTTCGTTATGTTCCACATTCCCTAGCAGGAGCAGTGCTACCCCTAGAGGACAAGGAAAAAATTACAAGCATAATGTGAGCGTATAAATATTGAATTGTTACAGGGCCATGCTCCATGTTCTTCAGCAGGGCAGCAGCACAAAACCTACATGATCCGACCCTCCTACATGATCCAACCCTGCTCGTCGCCACTGCTAAAGGATTCCATCATATCACTCTCGTCGTCGTCCCCTTCGTCGTCACCCAAAATATCCATCAAGGCCCCTCCCCCTTCAAAGTCGCCACCATCATCAATGAACTCTGGGTCATCTTCAATGTCATCCGAACTGGGGATATCGTCGCCACCATCTTCATCACCATCATCGCTGCTGCTTAACTCTTCAGAATCTGTATCCCCTTCCAGCACTGGCGCAAGGAGAACATCATCATCGGAGTCATCATTGTCATCATCATCCTCATCATCGGAATCACCTGCGTCCTCTGGATCTGAATCATCATCAGTTATCCGCTTCCTGCCAACCGAACAAGCGAGCAGAAGAGAAAAGCTCCTGGTGATCGTCCATAGCAACCACCCCAATAAGAGAATCATTGGGCTCAGTGGCAAGATCCAGTACACAGCGGTCGATTTGGACGGTTGCAATATCCGAGTAAGTCACCGCATCAATAAATGCGGAATGCAGGGAAAAGAGGTTGCCTGACCCTACGAGCATTGATGGATGCTGTCACGTCCTCAAGATTACGCCTCAGGATGGCATAGATAACATCACCAGTTCCATTAAACTTTATTACTGTCTGGTCCAGGGAAGGGACACTCCTCAAAAGCTTAAACTTCCTCAGATCCCACACCTCCGAATTTAAGATCACCTGTACAATATTCAATGACAGATAAGGAGCGAACACACTACCAACAAGTTCCTCTTAAAATAATGGCATGCGAAACAAATATATTGGTAGCAAAGCCACAGTGGATAAATTAACCTCTCAGACCGTTGTTCATCATCATCAATACCCATGTACTAAGATAAATTTCCACTGCACTTAAGAAAATAGGTGACAAATGCACTATTATTTTCAATAGCCCACAGATTTTTTTTAATGCCAATTAATCAATGCTGATGATTTGTAAGGCTCTTGTTGTTTTGCTACTCCATGCACTCCCCGTTCTACTCAAAAAAGTTATCTGTACATAGTTTACTGAGATACTTTGTTTGGGCTTGAAAGATAAGATTATGTTGAATCCGGAAACTCTGTTACTGAATAAAAAATGGGGCAAGGTTGAGATACAAATGACATTAGCTGGATATGCTAATGAACTAAACAGGTCTTCGAAGAGGGGAAGTACATCAAACAATCCTACTAACATAGTCATGAGAGAGAAGTGATATGTTAAGCTTAGAATGCCGTAAACACACAATAACATGCTATGAGACGGATAGAAAGACACTACGGTTCAAAACATACAAGTAGACGAGATTAATTAGTATGGTTCAAGGAAAAAAAACACACCTCATTTCCTGCTGGATGGAATCCACCACCACAGTAATCTGTGAACTGGTCAAACTGATGAACAGGATTTGGTTGCCTTGTATCCCACAGGACTCCATTCCAAAGCAACATTGTGTCTGAAGGACTGAAATGTATAATGGGTTGGATGTAACCCCGGCCTGAACCTGAACTGCTAGTGTTATCAGGAAGCCGCGTAGCAAGAGTATATGTCTGTACATCATACAACTGAACCTCCCGTTGAGCTGTATCAGTAGAAAGGGCAGCAAATGAAGTTCCGGAGTGGTTAAACCTAGCAGCTTTGCAGTCATCAAATGTGTGCAAAGGCCCTGCAGATACAGAGAAGGCATCCCAGATCTTAACCTCATTTAGGCTGGATGTGAGAATCATCTCATTTCCACCAGAATATGTCGACTCCATCATTGTAACAAGATGTTGGTGGCACGTTTGAGTCTCTAGGAGATTTGCCGTGTTGCAGTCAAATATCCTTAATTCACCTGTGTGGTTACCAGCCGCAACTCGAGATGCATCTCCAAGAAATGTCATGCAAGTCAACAGTGATGCCTCGTCACGGCAAACACGACACTGCTTGAACCTACTGTATATAAAATGACGATCCCTACGAGGTATCTGTATCCCACTAAATTGCCTACTTATCTCACGGCTTCCCATACGAGCAGCTATGTTTGCAGGTGCACTAAGGCTGCGACTAGGCTCAGGGCAAACATGAGGGTGCAAAAGAGAAAGTGGTGGCAAAGTTGTAACTGGAGCAGGACACTGGCGGTGTTGATGTTTCAAGTATTGTACAACCAGTGAGTCAAGTGTCATACGCTCCAAATTTCCTGATTGTTGATCATTCACACCAGGAAGTGCTGTAGTGGTCAACGCTCCTGGTGTGCCTTGAGAATTGTCCAAGTTGTCAGTAGAAACATTGTTGAAGTTTGTCCAACAACAATGAAATGAAGTAGGAGAATCTACTGCTACCGACAGACCTTTGCGAGTAGGAGCAGGAGTTTGGAATGCAGAGGGTTGGTACATTTGATCAGTTGTTGCGAGGCGCTTCGATGCCGATGCAGAATTATTATCCTTCACATCCACAAGCTTCCTCTTAAATGGCAGCGACAGTGGTGTTTTATTCAACATTTCTGCATCTCCAGTATCAACCGCAATAGGTACAGGACTTTTAAGGATGTTGCTTGCTCTGCTACCAGAAATAGGATGCGGAGACATGGCTCTTCGTGAGAAACTGGATGAGAAGGTCAGTGCCTTTTTCTTAGATGAAGGCAGGATAGAATCTGTTTTCTGGGAAGATTGATCTGTCGACATATTTATTTTATCTGAGAGAAATCCCTGAACACGTCCAGAGGGCCACTGTTGCTGAACAGATGATGCTTCCAGGGCAGCAACTTGGTGGGCAGGAAGCACCGCTGCTATCAATGGTAAAGGTGCAAGGCCAGCCTCCTTCTGGAGCATGGCAGCAGTGGCAGTGAAACCAGACCCAAGGAGATGTTCATGTATCAACTGCATCAGTTCCCTACACACACCCAAAAAAAAAAGAATAAGAAAAAAAAAGAAAAGGAAAGAACTCAAAGCTGCAAGATAATGCAATAGAGCAATCATACAGAAATCAAACCTCGAGTGGTAGGAGATAGGAGTAGCAGCAGCTATCCCAGCTCGCTCAATGCGCCTCAATGCTGGAGCAGCAGCATCAGTTGCCGCTAATGTTGTTTCTTTTCCAGAATTTGTCAATACCTGCCAAAGAATCATGTGATCATAGTACTCGTTTAACCAACCTCGCCTGTTTAGAGGGTTGAATCTGCAAATTTATTATCTATAATCACATAAGATGAAAGCTCTTACCGCAATTAGTTCAATTGCCACTTGGGTCAGCTCAGCTTGCCATCTTCCACTATCGCCCCCAGACGTCTGGGCACTGGTATCACGGATCAGTTCTGATAATTTCTTCCCCACCTGAAACAATGAGTGGATAAATATCTTCAAGGTACGCATTCAAGAATTATTTGACAAAACTAATCGTCTTGAGCTATATGTAAAAGGAACAAGGACATAAGATAGTAGTATGCCATCGGCGTTATCACAAAGCCACAATGAAGAACAAGCCTGGGCGAATTAGGATTTTTAAGTCTTCAAAAGTATGCTTTTGAACACTAAATTTTCTCATAACATATTAGAGATTGCTAGAGAACGTATATCTTGTTCAAAGATCCAGGAAACATGAATCTATCAATACAACTTATATACACTAAACATGTAAGCAATTATACTAATTGGTGGTAAGAGCTGATAAAGATGACTTTTCAAATGTTAATAGGCCCTATAAAAAAACAGAGGAGCACTCAGCTTGCAGTGGAATCGTAGTTAACAATAGTTATGAGTTGCCACTGTGGTTTATAACACTGGACGTGAGATAACTAATGTTCTGTAGTATGCAATACCTGGAGCTTTGTCAGTATATGTGCAATTGTATCGTCTCTAGCCAGGCCAAGCAGGACACGGCAGGCAAGGGCTCGAATAGAATCTATAGCCACAGGATGTGTAACCATCCGAGAACCAAGAAGCTGTAAAAGAATTTTTATGCCATTATTGGCTCTTACAACTTCTCGAGCTTGACGGTATCCTTGTTCCAATTGAGCAGCAAGACCAGGACCACCACCTCCAACTCCTAACGTTATTCTTCGATCACCGACTACTCCAGATGGCACAACAGGTGTGCTAGTTCCTTGATGCAAGGTATTGTTCCTTTCAGCAGGGTTGCCATCACCAGATCTTTCACGAGATTCACCCTGATTTGCAAGTAGATTCCTATCTAAAATACTTTTTTCAAAGTTCTTATCTCTGCTTTCTGAAGCAAGTGCTTGCGTAGCTGCAGGTTGCTGATTGGCAGTCGACAATGGTTTGTTGCTGATAGAAGGAGGTGGGCATACAAGATTGACGAGGACATTCAGTGCTGGACAGATCACCTGATTCACAAAAACAGTGAAAGTAGATTTTTCACAACCTTACCAATATCTTGGGTTAATAATCACAGGCCTACCAAATTTTGTGCAAACCTGCCAATACTTGAGTAGTCTTCTCACAAAACTACAAATTTGTGACCATTCATGACCAATCGGGCCCACATCAGTCATAGTTCATCAAATTTGACTTGGGCTCAGCTGGCCTCATGCCACTTACATGTGGGCCCAGCTGACCATGAAAGGAGAATGATCATAAAGTTGTACTTTTGTGAGAATGTACCCCAAGCAGTGGTGGGTTTGTGAAATGGGCACAGAATGACGTAGGTTTTTATATAGCTCAAAAGATAAGCAGATTTGTCAAGTTCACTGAGTGATAATAAGAACTGATATTTAAATAATACTTCAGAAATTATCAGGGAATTGCAAAGGTTATTTAATTCATACTCATATTTTCAAAGTGAAGCTGTACCTCATGATCAATATAGTCGAGACTTTTCACCGTGTCTAATAAGACAGCCATACCAGCACGATTGTTGCTTAATGTTCCCTGCACTATTGATTTGCGGACATGTGGCTGTGGCATAAGTGTTATGATGTGAAGAACTCCAATTGCATATTGAGTTAAGTCACGCAAATACCGATCACCATGTGCCTGAAACTGTGAATCAAATCAGGTTATTAACAAGCCCCACATAACCAAACAATGCATGTGTGCAGTGTGTTTTACCTTACACAGCTCGAGCATAGTCATGTGACCATTTGAGGCAACAAATTTATCCAACACAGGCCAACGAGCTCTCACAAGAGCAAGGCCTAACTTTCTGTCCCGCTGGATCTGACGAAAGACAGCATCCATAGCTTCATTGCTAATGTCAAAAGGTTTGTAGCCAGCTCTTGCACTAGAAGTGTTTCGGGCAATACTACGGATGCTTTTGCTTGGCCGAATGGAATCAACAAGCTGAAGGAGATGAGCTCTAAAGTATTGCCGTAGAGCAACACAAGTATGGTATGCAACTTGCTTCTCTGATGCAGTTAAAACTTCAGCAGGCGGCCGATCATTCCCTTGATTTACATTAGAGGATCCTGCTCCTCCAGAATTATGGCCAGA